GGTGACTTTCCTTTTGCTGGGCCTGGCAGCATCCCTACTTGCCAGTGGATCTCAAACTTGAGCAGGCATCAGAATCTCCTGACAGGTTTATTAACACACAAAATGCTGCCCCCAGAGTTTCTGACTCAGTGGGTCTGGGGTGGAGTCTGAGAACTGATATTGCTAACAAGTTTCCAGGTGCTGCTGCTGTTCCGTGGACCACACTTTATGAACCACTGCTCTATGTCAATAACAGTGGGTGAAATGAGAAGTCAGGCCTTTGGTGTCAGATGCCCTTGGGTTTGAATCTTGTTGCTATCATTTAGTAGTTCGTGTGTGTGTGTGTGTGTGTGTGTGTGTGTGTGTTGGTGGGGTGGGTGGTTGGGGATGGGAGAAGGGCACTGGAGAGGTAAGAGGTCAACGCCATAAAACCCCAAGACATCACTTTTAGAAGAGACCCTCTCCTTCCATTCCTCTGGGTGGAGGCAGGATCGAGTTTTCAGAGCAGTGGAAATAACCCCAAGTCTCTCTCTCTTCTGCCCCGGGGCCTCTTTCCACCTTCCTCCAGACCCATACGGGTCTGCCTGGGCCCCAGCCGGCTCTCCTCTTCCTTGTGGAATTCCTCAGGAACAAGGCAACTGTGCTGAGGTTACACATGGCACAATGAGCAGGATCTTCTCAAATAATTTCTTCCCAGTGATGAAAGGCCAGAGCCTTCCAGCCTGTTGAGCTTGACAATCTGTCTTCATTTCTGAATGTCCTCTAAAAACAAATCTGTTACACTCTGGCTAACACATTTCTATGGAAATGAAATAATGAAAGTTGACTAAAATGTCAAACTCTAATATCTAACAAAGAATGGAGTAGACACAGAGAGAAGAAACACCCAGGGAACTTCTCCTGGCAAAAGCTGCCCTTCGTGCATTTCTGTGGAAGTGACAAATACTGATGCACTCCACGTAGAAATTCATACTGGACCACCAGGCCAGGAAAGAGACCACGCACAGCCAGCATGGAACAGTTCCCCATCCACTGGCCTTCAAACCTGCTGAAGTGAACATTTCAGAAAGGAAATAGAGCAGAGCCAAATTTCCCAGCCGTGTGACAATCGAGAGGGAGAAGCTTCCAGTGCCAAAGGACCCTCATCCCAGCTGCTGTCCGCCCCTGGGCCAGGCTGGCCACTGCCTTCTCTCCTCAGCAACGAGAGGACTTCCTCAGAGCACAGCACGGCTCCCAAAGAACTCCCTCTCTTCCCCAGAGGCCCAGAAGCTCTTGTTGTCTGGGGAATAGACTCGATCTCAAACCTGACCTGAAGAATCTGAGGTTTCCCGTGATGCGGGTGGGGAGGTGTGGTGGTGTTTCTAATGCCTTGTGCTTTCAAGTGGGAAAGATAATAATAGAAATAGCTAACAGTTTTTAAAAACTTACTAAGCATCAGGTTCGATGAGTTAAGCACTTTATATATATTTTAAAATTTCAATTCATATGAGGTAGGTACTATTACCCCCACCTGACAAATTAGGAAACTGAGGCTGGTTTCCCCTTTAAAAAAAATACCCTTTCCAGGTAAACACAAACGGACATGGCCCTTTGAGCTCAGAATGCCTTCTATTATTATTTGAATAAATCTTGAACACATTCCTTCTTGGAATGTGTCTTCTATGGAAGTAGGACACAGAGGGATGGAGAGGTCAGCCTCTAAGAGCACCGAGGAACTGATTCTAGAGGCAAATGTCACCGCATCTGTGATGCTCAGACACAGGTCAGTGCTTAGGTGGGTTTTGCTCAGCCCCTCTTCCTGTCCCCCACAGGCACAAGAGTTGGGGGTCCCGCCCTTTCCCCTTCCAGAAGCTTTCAGCCTCTCCCCTTCCTGTCTTGGAGAATGCTGTGGCTTGTGTTGTCTCAGTCTCCAAAGGGATGGGTGATTTATGTCCTTTTATTCAGCAAACAGCTTTGTACAGAACGGATGTGGCTTGCTGAATGTCACCAGGCGAGGGCAGGGGAGCCGTGTAGAATCCCAATGAAGCCTTCCAGGCTTGGACAAAACGGCCCCAGGTGACTTTGCTATTGTGTGTTTTCTCTGGTGAGAGTAAGGAAGAGGCTGAGGATCCTGAAAGGTTGCAGGACAGTTGGCTTGAGCGGCAGGGACACGCCAAGCCCCCAGCACCTGGCTCCCCTGCTAGTGCCTGCTTCTTCCTGCTTCTCCACCTTTTTTCTTCTGGCGCTTTGCAGGCGACAAACCAGGAGGTCAGCAAACTGAGGACTTGGGGGAGGAAGGCTCCTTTCTGTGGACCTGTCGTGTGCAGCGGCTGAATGTGCCAGAACCTCAGAGCCCAGGGCCTGTGTGGCAGCAGAATAAAGCTTTCACTGGGGCAGTATCAGGGCTCAGCTCTGTACTCAGCCCTTCCCAAACCCACACAGTGCCCCCTGGAGCTTTCTCGGTTCCTTGCCTCCCTTTCCATGCTTTTCCATTGTTCTCTCCCAGTTGACACCTGAATCTGTAAGTTTTCTGAGGCCACGAGCCATGCTTATTCCTCCCCACATCCCACAGACACACACGGGATGGCCAGTTCAGCCCCATTCCCACCACATGGTAGGCATTCAGAGTTTACTGAATGAATGACGAGTGGTCATCTTGTTCCGCCATGAGCTCAGGTGCCTCAGCACTGCCCTGGAGTCTGAGGGACGCTCTGGCAGGATGACGAAGCCTGGCCTCCATGTTCAGGACAAATGACTGCACGATGCCAGTGTGCTACAAATCACTAAAGAATGGGAAAGATGATAGATTCGTAGGAGTTGGAGGGACCTTGGAGATCACGCAGCCCAACCCTCTTGTTTTACAGGTGAGGAAATCAAGCCCTTGAGAAGTGACTTGCAAAAGCTACACAGCGTGTTAGGAGCACAGCCAGGTTCAGAGGTGGGCCCTTTCTCTCAGGTCCAGACATTTCTCCTCTCCCACCACTGTCCCCTCAGGCCAGGCCTGACCCTGCCTCAGCTGCTACCCATCCCCAGCCTCGCTCCCTTCCCAGCACAGGCTGCAGCTGGTTTGAGTCTCCAGCCCACACACTCAGTCTCCCAGGGAGGATGGTAATTAGTTTCCATTGTGTAGCTCAGCACGACCTGGGCTGGAGAAAAACCGTGTGTTTCCAGCATTTCCAGCCAATGTGGGCCTGGCAGGTTAGGAATACAGGACATAGAGATTGGGGAGGCAGAAGAGAGCAGAGCAGACAGTCAGGGCCTGTGAGTGAAGCAGTCGCCCCCGTCCCAGAGCAGAGATAACCCAGGGTGACCCAGGGGGTGTGGAGCAGCCCGAAAGAATGAAGCAATAGGGCACAGCCTCTCTACTCACCCTCCCACAGAATGGAAAGGGGACAAAGCCAGTGAAAAGGCCAGAGAGGTGAACCAGGTGGAGGAAAAACAGGGAAAGGAAGGAGCCTGGAAAGCTTGGTCTTTCTCTTCTATCCATTCCTCAGGGCACCCTACACAGCCGGGGTGGTGGTAAAGGGAAAGAAAAGGGTGGTAAAGGGAAAGGGGTTCCAGAGGCCGAGGGAGAAGAAAGGAGGGTGAAAGGGAAATGCTGCACATTTACCCGTTTACTTTCCTTTGCAAGGGACTCAGAGCATCTCAACCACCAGTTCTGAGAGGGACAGCAAATTGCCCAAGGCCACCGAGAGTTAGAGGCAGGAACTGGGTTCTGCCAACTAAGGTTCCATCTGGGGTTTCAAGGTCCCTCAGATGGTCCTAGCCCCTACTCTTCCGGCTGTACTTGGTTAGACAACCACCCTATCAGTGAATTTAGGAATGTGACAGGGATTCCAGGGGACAACTGGTCCAGCCCTCATCATCCAACATCCCCACTCTACAGTCATGGAAACACAGGCAAAGACACAGCACCAAGGCTGCTCCTTAAATGACGCCAGGTCTCTGACCTCCCACTCCAGGGACATTCACAACCTTGCCAGTCAGGCTGAGTGGCTCCCACGTTTCCATGCCCTTGATCAGGACAAAAAGGACTGATCAGGACCTCTGGGGAAACACTTCTGCTGACTGTACCCAAGGAGAAAGAGGGGAGAGAAGTGGGGGTGGCTCCCTACAGAATGGTGACCTTCAAGAACAACTGAGCCTAGGGGTCCTAGTGGAAGAGAGAAGGGACTTCAGGGGAGTGGCAGGGGCCTACAGCAGACCTCCTGGAGCCTCGCTCCCTCTTTGCCAGGGGAGAGGGTGGCTCCAAGGCCCTGCTCCTCACCTCTCCCCTGCAGCTCCAAATGCGGAGCGAGTGTGAAGATTCTCACCTGTTCACACTGACAAAGCTGAGCACTAGCAAAGGCAGCCCCCCATCCCACCCCCTATCTACTAGACTTTGAAACTGTTTTCTTTGACTGTTGTGATTTTGGTGGTCATTCTATCTTTGTGGAATCATAGCATTTTCTTGCTCCAAAATCCCTCAGTCTAACACCTTTCTTCTGCCTCATGTTTGCCACCACCAATATGAAAAAAGAGCTTGGGGGGGGGGTGCAAAGAGGCAGATGGATGCTTGTGGGAGTTCTGGGGCCTGGGCAGGTGGCAGGGAGACGGTGGGCTGAGGGACCTGCTCATCAGGCGGAGGTGGACCCAGCACTGACATGGCCCCTTTTCTCTTCTAGGCTCCTTCTCTCGCCCCTGAGAGTAGCGGAGAGGAAGGCGGTTTTGTCTCCCTTGACTATTCCTGTGCCAATGCTGACCTGTGCACAGGGAACTCAATAAATGAATGATCTTCCAGAGGAAACAGAAGCTAGTCAAGATGTGGTGATTGGCTAAAAGCCATAGGGATTCTGGTTCCTGGGGCCAATCAGGAAGCTGATAGGGCTGGAGTGAAAATTTCTGGGAAATGGCCAAGACTTCCCAGGTCCCACTCCCTGCCCTGAGTCTTTCCCCATCTAATGTCCCAGGGCTCCTAGGAGATCCTGGGCAGGTAAGGTGGGATGGAATGAGAAGGAGGGAGGCTTAGAGGAGGAGGGGAGCCCCGAGGGTGGGGTACTCACTCCAGCACATCGCGGTTGAACTGCTTCTTGCTATTGCCCAGGAACTCTCCAATCATCTGCCGGCTGAGGCCCTTACGCTGGAGCAGGAAATGGGCCACTCCAATGGGGGTATCAGGGATGAAGCCACGTGAGATTAGGAACTGGATGCCCTTGTCCGGGTTTCTGGGGGTGGGGTGGGGGTGGGGAAAAGGAGTAGAGAGTGAGCCAAGGCCATCCATGACTTCTTTCCTCCCTTTATTTCAGCCCATGGAACCCATAAAAGTGCCTGGAGGTCCTTGGAATGAGTTCCCAGAAAGTGCCAGGATTCCTTCTGTTGCAGAGGGGTTCCCCACCAGAAGCCTCACTCACCAGAGCCTCACTGTCCTGAACCTCCCCACACAGGAGTGAAGATAGCATGGAGCCAGAAGACGGAAAGGGAGGTCTGGCCAAGCAAAGTGAATTCCAGAGCAGGCAAAGAGGTGTCCCTTCTCTGTTCCTGCCTCACTCCCATGGAATCTTACCCTGAGGTCCCCAAGGCCTGCCAAGAGGTCCCCCAGGTCCTTTCTGCCTATATCCTATTGTCTATATGCAGCACCCACCTTGGAATTTGGAGAGGATGAGATTAGAAAACAGAGGTGAGATCTCGCCCATACCCCCTCTCCCCTGTCAATGGTGGGCACACCAGAGTCCTGCTCTCCAGCATTTCCTTTCTCAAGCTGGAGTCTGTGTGTGTGGGTGCTGTGTCTTAAGGCAATGCACTCATAGTGTGGCCAGCAAATTCAGGCTGCTCCCTGAATTGTTTCTTACTGGTCCAGGAGAAGATAAGTACAGAAATAGAGGGTAAGCATTTAGAACCTTTCATTGCACTTTGACGTTTTCAAGACAACTAAGCATGTGATTGTTTTTCTAGCAGTTCATTTTTATTGTATTTCACAAAAGTATTGACCCACAATGTACTGGGTAAAAAACCAAACTGGTCTTTCACTAAAGATAGTTTGAAAACCACTGTCTTGAGGGATACCGGTATCTGTGGGAGCATCTGTGTGCACACCAGAGTGATGCCATGCATGTGTCAGGTGGGGGCTGTGCTCACCAGGAGGGCAGCCTGATGTATAATATAAGAAAAAGCAATGGATTGGGAGTCAGACAAATCTGGCTTCATCCAAGTCTGTTGCTTACTAGCTGTTCCACAGTGTGTAACTCACCTTTCTTGTGTGAGCCTGTTTCCCTTTCTGTAAAACGGCATAAAAATGCTATCTCTAATATTGTTGGGAAGATTGTGGATGCTTTGTGAACAGTCGCTTTTCTCCCTAAGATAAAAGCTTCTTGAGACCAGGGGCTGTGTCTTACACATCCTTGTATCCACAGTGCCTGGCACTCAGTAAATAACATGTGTGGGCAGGAGGGATGTTGTGTTTCCTGGCTCAGGGCTGTGAAGAAAGGGGTGAGTGGAGTGTGGAGGTCAGCGCCTCATATACTTGAAATTGCCATGGGAGGGGCATGTGTGTGCCCTCTGCTTGCCACTGGCTGTATATATTTTGGTTGCAAGGCAAGGTTCGGCTGGGGACTCTGGCTGTGGGCTCTGGGCTTGGCAGTCATTCATTTCTCTCCTTCCAGTCCCCTATTCTCTTTGTACTCTACCTCTGTTGCTCCACATGCTCTCCCAGTCTCCTTCTCCCCCCTTTGTCCCACTCTCTGGCTTTCTACCTGTACTCTTTACAAAGGTCTCTTCTCTCTCCCCTCTCCCCTAGTCCCTCATCCATTTTTCCTCATTTTCTCCTTTGCTCACTGTCTGTTTCTCTTCTTCATCAATTCTACAAGATTGTTGTGTTTTCCTAACTTCAGAACCTACCTGGATGATTTTTGCTCAGTCCTCATACTACCTGTACTATTAGGTACTTAATACTGTATTTTCTCTCACTTTTCAAACCCCAGCTTCATGTTAAGCAGTATAGTGGTGAAAGTATGGGTTTGAAATGTTGTTTTGTACCTAATCCTTCTCAAAATAAATTAACAACAATTAAAACTATTATAAAATGTGTATTCGTACACAGTATGTCAAGGAGCTGGCACAGACGCCACCTGGGAGGACACTGGGATGATGCGCTAAATTACCTGGCACCCAGCTGCTAACCTGTCAGTCCAGGTCCCGCCTCTTCTTCCCCGGAGACCTCCCCAGGAAGCCCCGCAGCTCTGGGGCCTGAGCTCACTTACATGTTGAAGAGGTTGAGCCCAATGCGGTAGAGGCGTTTGCGCAGCGTGTCGGTGGAGAGCGTGGGCGACTTGCAGCTGGCCGGGTTCTCACAATGGTAGCGCGGCAGGCTCAGGATCATGGCCTGCAGGGCCTCCTTGGAGGCCGAGGCAGAGACTTCTGAGCCTGACTTGGCAGACGTGCTGCTGCTGCTCAGCTGCTCCGAGTTGTCGCCGGCCTCTGCCCCTTTCCCCACCTCCCCTGCCTCCTCCTCCTCTTCTTCCTCCTCTGCCTGTGCTGCCCCAGCCTCCTCCAACACCGCCTCCGTGGCCCCAGGCGGGTTGGCGCTCAGGGCCCCGCCGGCTTCGGCCTCTGCGCACGTGATCTCGGCGGGCGCGTCCCCCTGGCCCGCGGCGGGGGCCACCGGAGCCTCCTGACCCCGGGCCTCATCCTGCTGGGCTTGGCCCGCCGCAGACTCTGCGGGGGCCTGGGATGTCTGTGCTCCCAGGCAGTTGGCCACCGACAGAGCGGTGGAGGAGGAGACGGAGATGTTCTGGTTGGCGATCTGCACGGTGACGTCCCGGAAAGCCATCATGAGGGTGCTGCTGTGGCCCTGGGGCAGACTGGCGGCCTCGGCAGCCTCTTCCCCGGGCCGCGGGCAGGCACTCTCCTGATCGCGCATCTCCGCCTCCAGGCCTGGCGGCCCCGCGCCCGCGTGCAGGGCCTGATGGATCTGGTAAGCGCCGCTCTCCTGCAGGGAGCACATGGTCTTGAGGCTCCAGGTGCTGAGAGCGTCGTCGATGGACTTGGCGAGGGACTGCACCTGCTCGGTGAAGGAGTCCTCCAGCTCGGTGAGCGTGCCCGCGAAGGTGGGCGGCAGGGAGGGCGAGCGCACCAGCGGTAGTCCCAGGAGACCATAGCCCTCCATGAGCGCCTTCTCAGCCGCCAGGCTCTCTGCCGTCGGCGCACGCACCTTGCGCAAGGAGATCCGCCGCGGCAGGCGGCTCTCCAGGAGCGAGTTGCGGATCTTCTCGAAGTTCTTGCTGAGCTGGTACTGGCGGAAGGCGGTTTGGATGGTGCAAGCGGCACGCCGGGACACCAAGTGGCCCCCGTACTTGTGTTCTAGCATTTCAATCTGCAACAAGGACAGAGAGGAGGAGGAGTGAAGTTAGGCAAGGGGTTTTACTGTGCTTACAAAAACAAACAAAAAACCCAAACAAATATATATATATTGCTGGTGGCTGTCCATTAGTTCAGGGAGCCAGCTGGCTAAGCTTTGCAGGAATGCACAGCTGGAGGGCACTGAGGGGCTCAGGTCTGAAAACTAGCACGCACGTCATGGCAGGAGATACCATGTCCTTGGCGAGACCCCTAGAAGTGTAGGATGTAGAGTTGGATTCCAGGGCTTGGTGAGGCCCAGGGCAGGGGAGAGAGGTGTTGCTGATGGTAGTCAGATGTTTCTGGTTTCACGGTGATATAAAAATGTCCCTATCAGAGATGCATATGGAAGTACTTATGGGTGAAATGCATGGTATCTTGAATTTGCATTAAAATACTCCATCAAAAACGTGGAAGGGTTAAATGAAACAATATTAATAAAAATTGTTGGAGCTGGGTGATGCTTTTTGTTTTAAGATTTTATTGGGGGATTGGAAGAGGGGAACAGTGTTGGGGAATTGGGGAAGGGGAGTAGACAAGTTGCTGTTCTTTGGCTCTTCAGTCTAGTTGTGAAGGACATCGCCGCTCTGGCCCATGTTGGTATTATCATTGCACTCTTCCTGGGTGAGGCAGATGGGTTGCCGGCCCCTGGATGGCCGCTCAAAGGGGCTCTTGGCAGCTCACACCCACTGCTGGCCGCTCATGCTGGCTGCTGGCCACACACCGTAGCTTATGGCAGCCCACTGCAGCAGGGGCTGCAGTCTAGCCGTCGCAGGCGACTCACAGCAGCCCAGCTCCAGGTTGAGTTGTTGTTCACCATCTTAGCTGTAGAGGGCAGTGTCACTGGCTCTCATGTGGGATCTGAACCGGGGCCCTACTGTTCCGAGCTGGTGTCCCAAGCCAGCTCTTAACCAACGCACCACTCAGCCAGCCCTGGATGATGCTTTTAAGACAGTTTATTACACTATTCTTCCTACTTTTGTGTATATTTAAAATAAAAAATACTAAACAGAAATGCTTTAAAAGCAAAGTTGCTACTACTCCTGTTTACTTGCGTTCCCTCTTGGCATTCATGTCAGTGCATTGGGGTGGTCCCTATCCCCAGGGGCATCATGAGAATTGAGGTTGGGGTTCGATCATCTCTGTGTTCCCAGTACCCAGCCCAAAGGCTGGCAAATGGTAGGTGCTCAATAAATGTGAATTGAACAAAAAAAGTGGATGGATGATGGATGGATGGGTGGGTGGATGGATGATGGATGGCTGTTTCAAAAGTGGGAGTCCCTCCAGGCTACCATGCTCTACAATTCAGGTCACCTCTGTTCTCAGCCATGGGAGCTATACAGCCAGGGCAGGGCTTGGTGGGGCTGGCTGGTGTGGGCGTGCTGCCTCGTCTGGGTAGATCTGAACCCAGGAAAATGTCTGACATAGCATTAGTTTGTCTTCAAGGCCCCTACTCACCTCCTTTCAGCTCTGTCCGGTGTCTATGGTCTTTTCTCCCCCTTAGGTTACTATGCTCTTACTTTTTCTCTCTTATCTGAACCTCTCAGGAAAAGACTAGGAAGATATTCCTCCTGAAATGTGAATGGCCAATAACATTTAACCATGCCCCTTTCTGGGGATTTTTTTTCATTAAAATAAGGGACAAGTCCTATGCTAAGGGGGTAGACAAATGATAGCATTGTGGGCTCCACTCAGTCCATAGGGAAGTTTGAAAGGTGAGAAAGCATTCCTGGGCCCTGAAATTATGTCCTATTCACAACCATACACTGCATTTACACATAGTGTCATTCCTGAACTAAGAATCAGGATAGGTGGGCTGAGATAAACAACTAAAGGCAAGGACATCATCCTTCCCATGTTCCCCTAGGATCACGGGTGGGAAGGGGTACAGACAGGAAGGCCAAATTTCATTCTTAAATAGAATGAACCCTTCTGCCCACTTCCTGTTCCTCTCGTCCCATCAGGGACTGCAGCTGGAGTGACTGCCTCCTCACAACCCCAGCAATTCCCTCCCTAGCTCAGGAGACCTCACTGGTACAATCCCAATCCCCAGCGACAATCCCAGGTAACACGAATGTCCTCCTCAATCCTGACTTCAGTTCTTCTAGTCTCACCATTCAGTGTCCTTACCCATCTTCACACCTAGTGACGTTATGCTGCCTCTCTCCCCACATCAACCCTCCTCTCTGAAGATAGTTGGAAAGCTTATTCATATTAGGGTTTGGATGGCCCAAGTGGCTTCCTACATGACTCCTCCCAGAAGTATTTGCATTTCACAAGGTACAAGGCCTTAAACAGAAAGCAGGAAGCTCTCCCAGTCCTCATGGGCATCATATTGTAGGGGACTTCAAGGTGCTCTTAGAAAACCATACCAAGCGTGTCATGTATCTGTGGCTGCATAGCAAGTTACCACAAACTTAGCAGCTTACAACAACACCCATTCATTTTCTCACAGTTCTGTAGGTCAGTGGTCTGGGCACAGTTCAGCTGGGTTCTCTCCTTGGGGGTCTCACATGGCTGAAATCAAGGTGTCGATCTCACATAAGGCTTGGGATTCTCTTCCAAGCGCTCTGTTGTTGGCAGAATTCAGTTCCTTGAGATTATAACACTGAGGACCTCAGTTTCTATTGGGTTGTCGGAAAGGTCATGATACATTTTTGCAACGAAAAACATAGAAAAAATACGTCATGACTTTTCCGACAACCCAATAGAAGCTTCCTGCTGTTCTCAGCCATATGGCCGTCTTCACAATGGGTTAGTTTGCCCCTTCAAGGCCACCAGAAGAGTGTCTCTCTGATGCTTTACCTTCTTTTAAAGCATTCACCTAATCAGGTCAAGCCGTCCAGGATGACCTCCCTTTTGATGAACTCAGGGTCAACTGATTGGCAACCTAAACATAGGAGTGATCTCTCTTCTTATTCTCTCATCCTGCCCACAGTGGGAGGGAGTGTTATGCAGGATGTATACACAAGGGGGCAGGAATCTCAGGAGCCCTCTTAGAATTCTGCCACCATACCAATTGGACAGTTGCCTATTGGGTCTTTGTTTAGGTATGGCCTCCTGTGCCCAGGAGCTCCAGAGAAGCACCTGCTTTCCAGGCGTTCTGTTCCTGCCTTTGCGGAAATCATGCCAGAAGGGAGAGAGCACTGTAATTCAGGTGTTCTCCCTTCAGAGCTCTGGTGGGTTCCCTGAGGCCTGGAATGGAGATGGGCCTTGGCTTAGGCAGGAAAATTCTCCAAGGGGAAGTGTAGAGTGAGGGGAACTAACCAGTTAACGTCCCCCTTCTCTCTCAATTTCTGTTTCGCTCTTACCCCTTCCCAAATACCATGAGAAACTGACACAGGCAGGGATTTGTACCTCGTTCCTACCTGGACTATTCATACTTCTAGGAAAACCCCAGACCCGAGAGCAGTCTTTTCAGGTTATGAGATGCTATTGGCAACAGGGGGAAAGTAGGAAATCCCATTGTCTGAAATGTTTCCAAAACAGTATAGGGGTCCAACCCCTGTCATGGTATCATCCTGCTGGGAGGCAGAAGACTGGCTGAGATAAGCCTAGGAGACGTTTTCTACTAGCCACTGTCCGTGCTTCACCCGAGCAGAGAAGAAAACCAGACTTTAAATTCTCGAATCTGTTCCATCAAGTCCTCCACTAGACTATAAGCCCCCTGAAAGCAGAGACTTTGCCTGCCATGTTCACTGCCTCATCCCCAGGGCTTGGAGAGTGCTCAGCACATAGTAAGTAGTCCTTCAATGAATATTTATTGAATAAATTAAAGAATTAATTCTAAAGTTATCTTTGTGACTCTCAAAAGACTTCCTAATCTGACCTGTAATTTTCCTCTCTCAGAGCTGGTGATCTTACCCTATCTTGCCTCTTTTTTAAGTTCATTTTATTCTCTATTCTCTCTTTTCCTTGCATTTCCAACCCTCAGTCTTCCATTGGCCCCTTTTCACCTGCCTGCAGATTCTCCCAGATCTCCCCAGACTAAAACACAACTCTACTTGCCTCCCCTGCTCTGGAGCACTAGCCCAATCTCTTTCTTTCTAATTCCATTGAGCCAGTCTCCATACTCTGCCTCACTCCACGAGCAAATGCCAAAATGCTGATCCAACCCCGTGTGGCCTGGCTCCTTTCAGCCTGCCGCCTGCTCTTACCAATCTCCTAAAATGACTCTCAGGAAGGCCACCAACGATCTTTAATCACTAAATCCAGTGGCCCATCCTCAACCTTCCTCCTCCCTCTTTTCTGCAGCTCTTGATACTTTTATCACCTTGAAACTCTGTCCTAAGCGCTCCCATCTCCACAGAGCTCCTTAAACCTATATTTTGACCACCAAATTCCTAAGCATGCAGTTACAAGTCACATGTATGCCATCTTCCATTCTCCAGACACATTTTAATTATTTTTCTATGCATTTCTGGACATCTTCCATGACTTCTTGTTGGAAGTCATTAAAGCAGCCCCTGGTAGCTGACAATTAGCAAGTAATTAAGAGGGAAACCGTCTCAGGCAGAGCCTTTGTGGCACCTTTCAAGATGTATTTACCTCTTATCTGAGAACCTCCTCCACATTGTCATAACTTCACTCTACTTTAATGGTTGATGAGCCAGCCTTAGGGGAAATACCCAGTCCCAGATCTACCTCTTCCCTGCAGGTTGACCTTGGACAAGTTTCTTAACATCTCTGACACTCAGTTTTCTTATCCATTAAATGAGGCTAATCCTGCTGACTGTAGCTTGCTGTGAAGCTTAAATGATTTCACATAGCATGTCACATAGTAGGTGATCAATAAGTGGTACCTATTTGATCAGTATCAAATAGGTATCATTATCAAATGTTGATTATGAATAACGCTCAGATCTCCGTTCGTAGCCCTGATCCTGCATTTCCCACAGACCTTGAACAGGGGTTCCCCCGGCCACCTATGCAAAGCTATTGTCTTTCCCCACCTCACTCAAACCAGCTCTTGATGAC